AAAGCAGCCCCAGCTGACAGCTCGAGCAGCGACAGCAGCGACTCTGACACAGATGACAACCAGGTGGCTGCAAACCACAAAGCAGGTGGGTCCCCTTTGGCAAGGTTGGGAATTTGCTTGGCCCAGGAGCAAAGSCATGCTGGCACGGGTGGGTGACACTGGGGAGGGTGTCACTGGGATGGCCCTGTTCCCAGTGTGTCTCTACCACGGAGAGACATGGAGTGCTGCTGCCGTCTGCTGGCTTCCCTGGCCACAGCACAGCCCTCTCCCTGAACACCCTGCTTGTGCTGGCTGCCTCCAAGGCTCAGTGCCTTTGACTCTTCCAAGATGTGCTTTAACCACAGKAATTACCAGGAGCAGGTAGGGCTCTCCCTGGAGCCCATGCATGCTGCATTGGCTGGGTGGTGCTGGCTTCTGTGCAAYGTTCAAACACTGCCTGGAGAACATSTGCTGCACAGTGYTGGTRTTCAARCCTCCCYGTGGGCTGTGTGGGCTCTGCATGTCTGCAGAGCAGAGGAGGGGAAGCAAGTGAGAAGGCCTGTGGAGAAATTAATGTCCCACCATTTCCCTGGTTTGCTGGCAAATTGTAAAACTTGGAGCTGGAAGGTGCTTCTGCTCTGGTGTGACCCTGGCACCTTCAGATGAGCTCTGGCCCACTCTGGAAGCTCAGATGGGTCTCTTGGTCTGTTGGGCACATGGTGAAATTGTGCAAAGGGTTGTTGAGGAGGGCAGCTCTGTATATGGGCTCAAGAGGCCCAGGTGCTCTGGGGTTGGCCATTGGGGTGGTTACATGTGGCAGTCTGGATACCCCCACCACCTTGGGAAGTCCCCAATTTACTGGGGAAGGACTGTCCTGCTTTGTCTGTGCTCAGCCATCTTGTCCAACAGCCAGAGCTGCTGTTGCTGTTGTCACCCACTTCAGCCTGAGGCATCTTCCTCTGCTATAGATGGCAACAAGTTTTGCCTTTTTGGGGGAAGAACTGAATGCTGCTCTTCAAATGCACATTTCCATCCTCCTGTGACTGTAGTCTGTATAATGAATTCTCTCTGAGTTGTCTTCTCTCTCTTGTTACTGTTTGTGCAGAAAACAACCCCCCTTCAGGTCAGGRAGCTACRGAAGCCTCCAACAAAGACAAGGTGKCAGGAAAAACAGAGCCAGGTCATGCCAACCTCAAAGCTTCCCCACAGAAGAAAACCTTGGCAGTGAAAGAGAATGATGTTGGGGCAAAAGGGGTGCAAGTAGCCCCAGCATCATCACATGCCCAGCTCTCCGTCCCACAGCCACAGGAGCCAAGCTCAGGGAGTGAAACCGAGGTCACCACAGCCSAAGTCCCTGCAGTGCAAACAGTGGAGGGGCTGGAAGTGAAGAAGAAGAAGAAGAAAAAGGAGAAAAAAGAAAAGAAGGAAAAAAAGAAACCATCCTCCACAGCAGACAAGGCTGTGAAAACGTCCAAGAACAAAGACAAAGAGAACAAAAAGCAGAAAACTTCTCAGAAGCGGAAACTGACAGGAGAGGATGGGGCTGTGGGGCAGCCCAAGGAGAAGAAACGGAAAGGSCAAACTAATGAAGAAGTACCCAAAAAGAAAAAGAAGAAAGCAGATGGTGRCCTGGAGAAGGTGGCAGGCGGCAAGGAAAAGAAAAAAACAGCTAAAAGTAAGCATCCCACACTTGGGGCCTAGTTTGCAGTAGGTTCTTGCAGCTGATGCACAGTCAGCCTCTGGTAGCATCCACTTTCCCATTGGCTTCCTGCTTGGCTGCTTCCTGCATGGAATTGTGGAGGTGGCTTGGAAAGGGCCTCTAAGATCATCAAGTCCAACCATTAACTCAGGTCCATTCCCAAACCAGGTCCCCAGGTATCATATCTACATGTCTTTTAAATACCTCCAAGGGTGGTGACCACACCACTGCCCTGGGCAAGCCTGTCCCAGTGTTTGACTACCCTTTCAGTGAAAAAATTTTTCCTAATATTTAATCTAAACCTCCCTGGCTTCACTTGAGTCTATTTGTTCTTGTCCTGTCACTTGTGAGCTTTCTACACCTTGCTGCTCTCTAGTGCTTTGCTCTCTTCCCTAATCCAAAAGCCTTTTTTTTTTCTTTGCAGTGCAGCCTGCATTTGCAAAGTAGAGCTGGTTTTATGCTAGACCTTTTAGGCTTTAAAAAAATTGGCAGGGGAGATGTATTGGCTGAGCCAGATCTGCTGGGGTTTTTGTTCTTCTGAAAAACAGCCCTTATTTTTGGAGGAGACAAACTTGTCCATTGGCCCTTGAGCTGTTGGACAGGGGTGAGCTGGATCCTCTTGGAGCAGTTGTGCTGAGCTGAACCTTGTGTCCACCCTGTGTTAACATCTCTCCTAGCTCTCATTTCTGGCATGTGCTCATCTGCTCCAGCCCTGAAGCGGTTCCTTGGAGCAGGTGCACASCAGGAGGTGGAAAGAGGAAATTCTATGTAATTCCACCCATATGTGTGCACAGAGGGTGGGATCAAGCTGCTCTGGCTCAGGGGTATTAGGGAAACATCCCTGGGTGCAGCTGCCTGTGTTAGAGCTCTGCCTTCATCCAGTTCCTGTTCTGGAAATCCTGCTCAGCTTTGGATGAGATCAGAAACATACTGGAGGTGCTCCTTCAGTCTGTGCTCCTTCTCAGAGCTGACAATACCACAGTCCCTCTCTTAGTTTGCTGTTCTTTCCCACTCCTAGAAAAGAAGCCTGGAAAAGAAAAGAAGAGCAAAAAGGCRTCTTTGGAAGGGGCACCTGTAGCAGATGGCTCTGCTGAGGTTCTCAAGAAGAAGAAAAAGGTAAATGTCAGACCCTGGCTGTGGGGGTCATCCCGGCAGTGTGCCAGGCTGGAGGAGGAACAGAGCCATGTCCTGGCCTTGCTGGCAGTACAGGGGAGCCTGCAGTTCACTGTAGCCACTCTTGAAACACTCTGACCTGTGGCTGGGATTAGGGTRGCTCAGAGGGTTTGTTCTGTGTCACTGCTGCAGGACATTCCTTTCCMTKGAATGGTCAAACCCGGGGGTCCTTYTGGTGGCAAAGGACTTAGTCCTGTCCAGGGAGCAAATGCTGCTTTTCAGCTGCCTGTTCATCTCCTTCTCAGCAGAAACAAGCTCCTGAGGGCTTGGCAGGCTTCTGCCTCCCATCCCAAGGGCTTCAAGGGSTGACAGAAGGAGATGACAGGGTGTGGTTTGTTGTGGCTGCCACCTTYACAAGGACATAGCCAGGAAGCCTCAGTGGCTTTGCTGGGTTCTTCATGCTTGTAGTGCCAATGATACTGATGTATTTTTCCCCCTTTCCATTTTAGAAGAAGAAGGCAGCCGAGCCTGAAGGATTGTGAGAAGGTACATGGCCTGTGGGGACTGGCCACTGGTACCCTGAGCTGCGTAACCTTGGCCACATTCAGAACTYCTGGGCCAGTTTTGGGAAGACAATGTGCCCTCTTAAGTGCTCACTGAGCCAGCCTGGCCTTGGAGGGCCAGGGAGTGGAACAGTGTGAGGAATGTCATGCAGCTGTGTGCTGGCTTCTCTGGATGTGTCTGACCTCAACTCTTTAGCTGCTAAGAACTGGATGTTCAGCCTGGGTGTTGCTGACCTCTGTCACCAGCAGAGATGAGTGGCCTCTGGCAGTGTCTGTCTGTCCCTGCTGACCACAGGGAGCTTGGAAAAGTGATGTGGCTTAGATGGTGATGTTGTATCCACCTGGGAGTGGACCAGGTGCTTCTGCTCACACTCTGCTCAGCTGTAAGGCTGTTCTCCTCTTCCCCATCCCTAATTCTTTTAACCCCTCTCCCCAAAGGTACCGCATTCCTGTGATAAAAGGTTCATGGGTGAAGATCAAACAGAAGAGAGGAAAAGGAAGCTCACCGGGAGAATTCCAACGTTTTTAAAAATAGTAATTTATAACTTCTTTTAACTGTGACTTTTAGAGCARAGCAGTGTAACTTTCTGCCTCCTCCTGCCCTGCTGGGGTCCAGAGATGTGTTTATAGTCCCTCCAGATGGGATGGAACTGGARGAGGCAGTTTGACCAGAGCAGAGCATAAACTGCTTTTCCTCTCGTTGACACCCAGCCATCCCTTTCTCTTACCACAGAGCTATATTTTTGAGAGAAACTTTTACCTTTTTTTTTCCCTCCTGTGATTTGTGGTGTCAGTCCTTTTGCTACTACAGAAGAAAGCTCTCGGGTTTCCTTTTTATTCTAACACTGACAGCAGTGATTTTCAAGTCCCTGGAGTTGCACTGAACAGTTGTGTCCAGCAGCTGTTCTCAGCCAAGGCAGAGTCAGTTTTTGTGTTGGTTT